GAAATAGAACAAAAACCATGAGAGATATGATATGATATGATATGATATGATATGATATGATATGATACGATATGTTGGAAGATGGTAATGAAAATCTTGTAAACTTGAATGTACTAATGGTTGCGCAACTCTATACTAAAAGGCATCAAATGGCACTTTTCTCAGTGGATGCATTGTATGATAGATGGATAGATATGCTATTTCAAAGAAGCTATTATTTGTTATTTAAATTTTTTGTGTATGAGTGTTTTGCCTTTATGATAAAAGAACGCCATATGCATGTAGTACCTGCAGATGCCAGAAGAGGCATCAGTTCCCCTGGAACTGGAGTTACAGACAGTTGTGAGCTGTCATGTGGGTTCTGGGAACTGAACCCAGGCCATCTGCAAGAGCAGCCAGTACTCCTAAGCGCTGAGCCACCTTGCAAACCCCTATAATGAAGCTGTTATTTTAATAAGAGAACATTCAGAATGGTAACAGCACCAACAAAGAGCTCCGATAAGCTGTAAACCTAATAATGAAAGAAATCAGCACCATCTTTCTAGGGTAAAGTTGAGGAAATTTTCCAGGAAGGAGAGCCTAAAAGCCTGGAAGTAGATAACAGAAAAGATGGAAAAATGAGAAAAATCACTGAAAATGTTTATCATCAAAGTAAAGAATTCTGGAAAAAGAGACCTACCTACAAAAGAAAAAAAAAAGAGGGAAGAAGTTGCAGAGGAAAGGGCATATTGAGATAATCAAGAAAAGTTTCCACAGCTGGTGGTCATACACTTTGAAAGAGCCTGAGTACTTAGCACAGCGAATAAAAACAGATTAATAATGCACACTGCTGTGAAAAGTCAGAATTCTAGAGGCAAAAGACGATCTTATAAGCCTGGTGTGAAGACGCACATGTATAGTTCCATTGCTCCAAAGGTGGAGGCTGGAAAATTATGAGATGGAGGCCAAGTTGAGCTCCATAGTGTCCCAGGCCTGCTTGGGCTATAGAGAGAGCCCCTGTCTTGACAGAAAAGAAAATCTTATATATGCCCTTCCAGTGATGAGAGGATGTCCTAAGTTGAGGAGCAGTACCTGACCTCAGCAGTACCTCTCTGTAAGACAGATCACAGTGTGTCAGTTATCTTTATGATTATGAAATAGGAAGATTTCTAATGCAGACTCTCATCCGAATCACTCACGAGTGAAATTTTGGGTAGAATTGAGTTAAATTTTAAAATGTCTGGTTTTTGTTCCATGTTAGTACTGGAGGAAGTCCTTAAAACAGGGAAGTGCATGATCCAGGAAGCAACGTCCTTTGGAGTGCCACCTTGAGGAGACCTTGTGTGAAACCAGTCTAGGTGGCAGCATCTCAGAAGGCTTAAGAAGGTGGTTCTGGTGGAATACCCAGTGTTTTTGAATGTAGGGAGAAGGTATTTACTCAGCAAGATAATGTATCCTGAAAAAAGAGTTAATTTCTCATATTCCATTGTGGAAAAGCTCATGCATAAATAATTCTTAAGATAATGCCCCTACCTCCCCCACCCCAGAAATCAAGGAGTAGTGTTGCCCATTGGGGAGATGATTTATTTTTTTAGGAGAGAGGTCGTTTTGAGACAGGGTCTCCCTGTAGCCCCAGCTGGCCTGGTACTCACAATGTAGACCAGGCTGGCCTTGAACTCACAAATATTCTCCGACCTCTGCCTCCTGAGTGCTGGGATTAAAGGTGTGCGCTCCACACCCAGCCTAAGAATACTCTTGAAACTATGTGGAGTGTAATTGATAATTTTGTCTTAAAAACTTGAAAAAAAGAATAGATTCTTTATCTTGGATTTATTAGTGTTACTCAACATCCCCCTCCCCCAAATGCCTCAGGACATTAAAATTTAGGTTTTTGTCTATGTCTTAACATAAATATTTTTATTATTTGGGCTCAGAGTATAGAAGGTTGTGATTAAAGTAGTGGAGATTTTGAATAGAGCAGGTGAGAGGTGGAGGATATGAATTTTATATGGGAGTACTTATCTGAATAATGATGATCTAGTTGACTTTTTTTAAGTGATAGAAGGGATGGGAAGTAGAATTGAGATTACTGTTCAGTTATAGAAAACCACTACTATAATCCATGTGCCTTCCTTTTGCTCAGGTTCGAAGAGTACCAGGTTCCAGTGGCCGTCTCCATAAGACAGAGGATGGAGGCTGGGAGTGGAGTGATGACGAATTTGATGAGGAAAGTGAGGAAGGGAAAGCGGCAATTTCACAACTCAGGGTGAGTTTTGTTAAACTGAATGTATCTTGGGTTATTATTCAACGTTACTAGCTAAAATATAAAGAAAACAAACATTACTGGTAGAATTTCCTTGAACAGCTTGCTGACAGAAACCCAGTTAATTCTGCATAGCAAACTAGACTGGCACATCTGTTTGAATGTGATGATATTTAGGATATATGAAAATGACCCAGAGCTAGAAATGAAAACTGAGATGGAAAATACACCAGATGGTATTAATGACTAGAAATTGCAGGAGTGAACTTTTGAAACCTTGCAATACAAGACTGTCACTGAAGCATCTTATCATTCTATATGAAGAACAGTGCACCTCTGTTAATTTGTGTACACTGGGTATCTTTATGTGTTTGTGTGTTAGTGTGTGTTAGTGTTTGAAGCCTTGAAGACAGAAGTCTTCCTTTGCTTTCCCTCATCACTTTAACCCAAAATTACATAGTTGTATGTATGTATAGATGTCACACATTTAAGGGTAGTAGTATACCCTGGCCTGCTCTTTCTTTCGTGAACTGAATAAAGGGCATATTTATATCTTTGCCTAGGAACAGAACCTAATGAGAGCCTAATGACTCTTGATTGATCAACATTGAGTATTTGCTGAACTGAGATCTGATCTTTGAGTACAGTTATTATGTATATTATAGCTAAGTTTTGTTAAGAGCTTGCCATGAAAACTGGCAAAAATTTATTAAGTATTGACTTTAGAAAAACTCTGCAAATGATAAGAATTGTAAACATTTGTTTACATATGATTGTGAGTTTAGTACTTCTTTTTTTAATTTTTAAAAAATATTTTATTATTTTTATTTTATGTGTATGAATGTATTACCTGCGTGTAAGTAAGTGCACCTGTGTCATGCAGTGCCTCGGAGGTCAGAAGAGAACTTCAGATTCACCTGAAACTGGAGTTAAGGACGGTTTGTAGCTGCCTTGTGGGTGCTGGGAATCGAACCCGGGTCCTCTGCAAGAGCAGTCAATGCTCTTAGCTGCTGAGCCATTTCTCTAGCCCCCAAGTTTGATACTTCTTAAATGAATGTATCCTCTCTTCTGTTTTTACTGTGACTCCTCTGAAGTCACATTGATCCCTTAGTGTTGCAATAAAGCTACCATGGAAGCTGGAGCTAAATGTACCTTGTAGCCTTGTAGTCACACCTTCCCATGTAAGAGCTACTGATGCATTTTTCCCTCCAACAAATATTCAGAAAGATAAATTATAGCTTTTCATTATCTGATTGTTTTCCTGGAGCTATCTGGGCAAGAATAAGAACTTCCCAATCAGTTACACTTTTAAACAACAAAAAAAGTTTTTTTTGTTTTTTTTTAACTTTATA